ATGAGGCTGAAAGTCATTTACATTTTCTTTTTCTGTTCACCAGAACTTTGTCTGGAGCAGAGCTGATGCAGAAGGGTGGGATGCAGGGAGACCCCACATTCAGGACGACGTGTAGGTGTGTTTCTGAGCACCAGAGTGTATGGAAGGAGAGCCAAAGAACAAGGGGATTGTTAAATAAATAAATAAAGATTGAGCTGAATGTGATGTCATTATTCAACAGAGCGGAGTTGACAAGAGCATTCAGGTGCAAATAGAAGATGAAGCACCTTTACCTTCAGCTGGCTATCGCATCAGATGTGAAGAGGCAGGACTCTGGAGCAAATTACATCCTTTAAAACAACACATGGGGGAAAGGATTCGTTAAAGTAGCTTTCATTTTATCCTAGCGCACTGAGATGAAACAGCATAAATCATCACGATTTAGCTTCTGGTCATTGAGTCTAATTGTGCCAATATGTTATTATTGGCCCTGACACAAAAACTATGGCTTGAAGGATGAGTGTATTAATTTAAAAAACACAAATAATTCCTAAGCAAAAGCTACAACACTCTTTAAAAACACAAAATATACTGACAAGGAGTCTAAAAAAGTTAAATCTGGTCCTCTGGATTTTTCTACCTGAATTATTGAGCATGCATCAGGATACTGACAAGGAGGTTTGGATGGTCGTTTCTGCTGTCTCCTAATCATTGATTTTTCAGCAAGAAGAACAAAATAAAACCAACATTGAAATAAAAATCCACCTAAATGTAGTAGTGCTGTCTACAATCTCCCCTGTCTGATTAAAAAGAGAGCTGGTGAGTGGATGGTGCTCATCCATCCATCCATCCATTTTCTTTACCCGCTTATTCCATTTCGGGTCACGGGGGTCGCTGGTGCCCATGTCCAGCAATCACTGTGCGAGGGGCGGGGTACACCCTGGATGGGTAGCAAGTCCATCACAGGGACACATAGAGACAAACGAGACAAACAACCATTCACTCTCTCACTCACACCTAGGGACAATTTAGAGTTACTAATCAGCCTATCATGCATGTTTTTGGTCTGTGGGAAGAAACCAGAGTACCCGGAGAAAACCCGCGCATGCACGGAGAGAACATGCAAACTCCACCCAGAAAGGATTTGAACCGGGGACCTGCTCGCTGAGAGGCAGCAGCTCTACCAGTTGCGCCACCGTGCTGCCCCACGTTCTACATATCAGATGAAATTTAACAGATGATAGAAATACAATAATATGCCTCCACATGCATTCTAGAGTTGTAATCAAACATCATTCTTGAGGGATCTGTGGGTACCAGAAGTATATAATGGGGATGACTCTCAGCTGCGACCACACTAAGCTTAGTCCTGACATCTGTTAAATTACCAGTCACAGCCACTTTTGTGTTGGCTAAGGTGCATTAACTGTGGCTTCCATCTCAAATCAAGTTATCCTCAAAAGATAATCACTTGTAAATGTATTCATGCAACCTTCTTTTATACAGGTTAGTCTCATTGTATATCTAATGAATACTTTCTGCGAGTTTAAATAAAGTCTGTTCACTAATTCATGAAATGTGTTGCTTAACAGTTAGCGTCACAAAGCTCAGACTATGTGTTGTGAAGGATTCTCAGGTTCGCACAAATTTTTAGCTCATTATTTGTAAAATTGTCATTTTTGCGTTTTCCAGGTTCCTTTAAAATCAGATTGGCTCCAAAAATGAATCCCTTCCAGTCTGAATATTTAAACTATAGTTGGGATTTTAGGGATGGGAGGGGGTCATATCAGATGGAGCAGCCAGGTGCTGACTGAGCCCCCCCTCCTCTATCCCAGGTGCTGCAGAACAGGGAACACAGCCACATGTTTATTGATGTGTCTGACCTGCCGTCAGTACACAGTGTGTTGTACAAAGATGAGCACCAAAATACACAAAACTCACAGAGCGGAGAACAGGTGAACACACAATAGACAATCTGATAACTTTATCCTTTTTGAGGAAAAACTAAAACATTTGAAATACAGATTTTGAAAATAATCGTCCTCAACCGGAGCAGATTCTGTACAACTCGAGGAGAGAACAGCTGCTATCTCAGTCGCAGGAGGATCGGATGATTGCAGACAGACTCAGGAGTTCAAAAAAGAAAAAACATTAAGCAAAAACAAAAACTGTGTTGTGGCGGCACAGACTTACACGACGAGGGAGGGAGGGGAAAAAATCACAAAAAGGAACGAGGAGGACTGAACTTGTGGCATGAAAACCAATCATGCACTGCTGAAGAGTTCATGGCAGGAGACTGAATAAATAGGGCTGGGATGATGAGGTACTGGAGACAGCTGAACTGATTACAGACTGGGAACAGGTGCAAGTGGAAGCTGACTGGAATATCGCTGAGGAAGCTGAATGAGGAGGAGTGAGAGATGGCACAGGGGAAAGCACAGATCTGGTGAGAACAGCAGAAAACACTAGAATCCAAATCTATAGAAAACTACACATTCAGTTCAATTCAGTTTAGTTATACAAGGCCAAGGCACAGCAGAAGTCATCTCAGGACACTGAACACAAACATTCATATATATATATATATAAAGTAAGTTAACAATATTATTTATAACCACAAGGAAAAAAAATCAAAGAACTAACAACTGACCAAAAGTGCATGGACTCTTCCGTCTACTACCCTCAGGCAGACGATACAGGAGTCTGCCATCACATACAAAAAGACTAAAGGACACATATTATCCACAAGCTGTCAGATTACTAAACTCTCTGTAAATAACACTGAACAACTGGCAATAACTTTGCACCAAGCCACATGTGTGACAACTAGTATGACTAATATTAGCTGTGACAGCTAATATGTTTATTGCTGCTGCACTATGTGGCTGCATCATGTATGATACAGTATGTATGTATCTACCTTACCATCATAATTCTTCTCAATGTCATTCAGTACCTGTGCATTAACCTGTCACACAACCTGTATATGTTATGTGCAACATATATCATGCACATTTTAGCTTATACCTTATCATTTAAATTCATCCAGCTTGCACAGTTAAAATTCTACCATGTTGTTGTTTACTCTTTCTCTTTAGGTCCTTGTACATATTATACCGTAATTACTTTTTCACTTTTTGGTACTTTATTTTGTACCCTTGTTGCATGCTTTAGTATTTTTCTTGTTTGTTTGTTCTTTGTTTAGTAGCGAGTCAAATCAGTTCTTCTCATCCTGAGCATTTCATTGTCCTGCTGACCCCGTGTTAACCTGCATATGGCAAATAAACACAACTTGAACTCGACTTGAACTTGAAGTACACATATCCCGACAACAGCAAGGACAACAAGTCCAGAAACATAAAGATAAATGAGTTATTACATTTTACATTTTGTTTTCATAATTTAGTTGTATGACTGTTGAATTCTGGTCTTTTATATGAAGAGAAGAGAGTTCACATTCCAACTTAGCACTGTTTATTTTACGTCCATCTCCATCATACCTGTGGGTAACTGCAGTAACTACCTGCAGACTTGGAATACTAAAACACAGAGCCCAGATGTTTTCATTACAGTTTTTGTTAATGATTACTGGAAATACAGCGTCTCTGCACTCACCTTTAGTTTGAAATGTGACCTGTCAATCTGCATGCCTGAATAGAAGAAAATGATTTCATACCACCTTTCAGCTTGTCAAAAAAAATGCATGTTAAAATACCTTTTATACATTTTACTATACTGAGTGAGCTTAGGCTGGCCTGGTGAATTTAAAGTGAAATAACCTGCATTTAATACAAAAAGGAGCGAGTCTGACAGTGCAGCCATTGTTTGAAACCAAACTCACCAGATCCGTTCTGAATTAGAGGTTAATCTTCCCTGCATGGCTCAAGGATTATCTTCTTAAATATGAGAGCAATTACTTGATTGAAAGAACAGCTGCAGTCACTGGTGTGACCTTAACCATCACCTGGAATCCCGTCATGTCCATCAGCTACACACACTGAAGCTGCTCATGGCAAAGCTTTAAACTAAGATCTCAACGTGTAGTGTCGGGTGTGATGCTCACCCACTACCACATTCAATTTGACCTCAATAGCTGTAACATTGTCTGAGTTACAGTTTTGTGTTTCCTAGTTGGCTGAGGCAGACATCTTGTATTCAAACAATCCAAAAGACACGGCAGCTCGATGGGTTAGTGGTCAGAACAGTTGTCTCACAGCAAGAAGGTTGTGGGCTCAATCCCTGGTTTGGACCTGGGGTCTTTCTGTGTGGAGTTTGCATGGTCTCCTCATGTTTCCTCTGGGTCCTCCTGTCCAAAATGTGCACGTTATGCTGCCTTCGGGTCCAGGCCACCCTTGCAAAACAGCTCTGCAATCTCAAAGAGATTTGCCTGGGTGGATAAATAAATAAATAAAAATTACAAACCATTGCACGGTTAATGTAGTTATTTGCAAAAGCCACTATGATTGTTTGAAAACAGCAGCAGTCCTCTTTGAGCTTGACTTTGCTCAAACCAGTTCATCCAATCCAGTCAAGATGACGCTTCTCGGAACTGATGCTGTGTCTAGACCAGGTAAGATATTAACTGTTAGCAAACTTTGAACGGAGCTCCAATTCAAAAGACTTGGGTGTGGTGGTGCTTGTAATAACTCAAAGCACATTGAAGCTGGTCAGCTGGCTGGTGTGGAGGATGTGCTGCAGCGTCACTTCTTTCTTTTTCACTGAGAGCTAAAGGGTTTTCCATCAAGCTGCAGCAGGAAGATGGATTGCTGCCTGTAGAGAGGAGGAAGTTTCCTGTCCAGATTAGTGGGTTGAAGGGCGTGACTTGTGTCCCTGACTCCCCCTCCTCCTGATCAGCGCTCCCCGGAGTGCTCCAGCTCCCTGTCACACCTGAAGCTGCGCGCGGAGCTGCGGCAGGAGACAGGAGGAGCTCATGTTATTGTAACGGACTTTTATTTTGCGCACGCAGGGCGCCATGTGTTTTTAAGTGTCGCCCATCCTGCGCGTCTTCAGCGCACCATGCGCGCAGCAGCGACGCGCCCTGACGTGCCATGCTGAAGCTGAAGTCCCGGACTCTGCTGCTGGCTCTGACCGCCGTGGCCGCGCTTCTCCTCCCGCCGTCATGCCGGGGCTGGAGCGACGAGGACCTCCTCCTGCCGCCCATCAACTCCTCCACCAGGTTCCTGGCCAACTTGGAGGTGGACGTGCGCTTCTCCAAGAGGTCCGCGGAGGAGAGCGGCGACGCGTCTCCCGCGGACTCCGCCGCCTCCCCCGCGCTGCTGCAGACCCTCAGCCCGGCTCCGTCCCAGCAGCAGTGCAACGTGAGCGTGCACAGACTGCAGCCCACCTCCCTGGTGGCTCGCTGGGACAGCGGCTTCGGCTTCCAGTGTGACGTGCTCCTCTACACCACCAACAACCACGGCAGGGCCTTCTTCTCCGCCTCCTTCAACAGAGCCATCTCCCCGGTTGTCATCGAGCACCTGGGGGTCACAGCGGGTCAGCAGGAGATGAGGCTGTGCGTGGGATGCGGGATGTCCCGGTACCGGAGGTTCGGCCAGGGCCGCTCCAGGGGAGGGGGGCAGCAGCAGCACAGCGGGGATCAGGTCTCCTTCTGCTGCGTGGACTTCAGCCTGGACGAGCTGAAGGGGGACAAGAGTTGGGGTTTGAACAGGAAGCCCATCGAGTCGACGCTTGTGGCTTGTTTCATGACCCTGGTCATCATCGTGTGGAGTGTTGCTGCGCTCATATGGCCCGTTCCCATCATTGCAGGCTTCCTGCCCAACGGCATGGAGCAGAGGAGACCCAGATAACTGAACTGAGCCTGCTCTACCTGTAGCCATCAGCTGTTTCAGTGAATGCTCTTTAACCTTTAAAACTCCTCAGAGAAACCACAGAGGGAATGGATTATGGATTATTGTTCATAAGGGCCCCCTTTATAAAAGCGTCATTCATGAGTTTGTGCAGCTTTTCTACAACAGTCTTTGAGAAAACTCAAAGCTCCTCATTGCAAAATATGACATTAAACCTAAAAAAAAAAAAAAAGTTATAGTGAGCTCAAATGGTGCAATTTGAACGTTTACTCAAGTTCTTTTCTAAATGTATTCATTTAAAATTCTAAATTGCAGCTAACAGCACATTTGAATCTGCATACTTTAGTCAACAAATCTTAGAGTTATGTAAAATACATATATAATATGAACCATGCATCCATTATCTTTACCTGCTTCTTCCTTTTCAGGTCAAAGGGGTCACTGGTACCCATGTCCAGCGTTCACTGTGCGAGAGACGGGGGACACCCTGGACAGGTCACATCAAAATTGTCAAGACATCTTGATCTCAAACAGCTTTTTGTTGACCTACTTTTAGACACTTCGGCTGTTTCCGTAGGTAAAGAAACGCACGGTGGTTGACAGCTGTTTACAAATTGTTGCTGACTACTTTTTATTTCAAGGAAACAATTGTGAGTGACAGTGTGAGTGGTTGTTTGCCTCAATGTGTCCCTGTGATGGACTGGAGACCTGTCCAGGGTGTGTGATAGCTGGATATGGACACACCAGTGACCCCAGTGACCCAAGAAGGAAGAAGTAGGTATAGATAATGGATGGACCAATCACTGATATGAGAAAATAACGGAGTGGATTTTGTTTCTTTACTTTATACATTTTCATCCTGACTGATCTTGACGTCATTGCAACGAGCACCTTTACAGCAGGCTCACTATTTGGCGACTTCAAGTGTTGTATTTTAATTCAAAGATGTCATCGTTTTGCTTTGCTCAGCTTGCTTCAAAAGTTAAAACACACTTTGCTTCCAATGGCTCATAGTGCTAACTTACGGTTAACTTACTGGCAAATGTTGGACATTTAAAACCTAAACTGTGAAGAAACGAATACAGCATTTGATTTGGCCAAAATGCGAGTATGAGCACAGCTGTTTTGAAAGTTAATTCTTTAAAAAGTGAGCACAAGCTCATGAATAACTTAATTATAAAGCGTTATTAAAGCCGTTGTATTTGGGCCTTCATTATGAAGTGGTGTTGGATTATTACACTACAGCCAATATAATCCATACTGGGACCAATGTGTTTGTAAACCCTTGTAGGCCTTCTTCTATAGATTCTGTGAGCTGTGCAATCTTTTCTCTTTGAACAGTGCTTTTAAAGTTTTTAATCTTTCTAGACAGGTTGGTTTTTTTGCCTTATATGTAGGACGTTTGCACTGAAACATAACCTCTACAGTGCTGTCTCTATAACTTAGAATTCAAAATAGTATAAAGTACATTTTTTTAGTTCCCCCACAGTAAATCGAATATTTATGAATCATATACATAGGCACAGATTTAATACTTATATTGTTATATTTATAAAGTCTAGTTCATAAAATGTGTTTATTTGTATTAATGTTATTTTAAATGAAAATAAATTACAGACTTGATGAATTTTTTACCTGTTCTTTGTGGTTAATTCATATTTTACAGATTTATTCGCACAAATTGCACTAGAAATGTTATATGAGCACAAACAGCCAATATTCATTTTAGATTTTGCAAAATATTTGTTGATTCAGACAAGAAAAATAAACAAAATGTCTTATCACTTACATGGGCCCAATTCATGAATTAAAAAAAAAAAAAACAGGTCAAGGAACAGAATAAACAGAATTAAGACGTGTTTTCTTTTTAATCCAGTCCACCCTTCAGTTTAATAAACAGACTCTAGAAATGACTTGTTTTAATAAAACTGTCCTCATCTCCATCATTTTTCTATTACTGGATGCCTTTTCTCCTGTGAAAGAGAACTCATATTAATACAACATACTCCTTTATAACATATTGATCAATGTAGAAAAACACAGATCCATCTCTTCATGTCATCTCTATAAAGGATACTCGACACATGGAGTCACACAAAGTCTGGCCAAGGTGAAAAGACTCATTCAACCCACTCCTTCTGTGTTTGGTCAAATTTGTCCATTTGAAATCCTAAAGGAATACTACTTTAAACGATTGATCAGGACCAAGTCATTAAAAATATGACAAAATAATAAAAACAGGTATTCTTTTCTTTATGTGACATTCAAAGTGTTGCTTTGCTCCTCCACCTCCCCTCTGTTGGATCTCACACTCCAACATGCCTTCTGGCAGTGACTAAGAAATCTATAATCAAGAAGTGTTTAACACATATACTTTGTACATTAAAAAATAAATAAAACTGGTTTATTTTAGTGGGTGGCATGTGGCTCAGTTGGTAGAGCTGCTGCCTCTCAGCGAGAAGGTCGTCAGGTCGAATCCTGGTCTTTCTGGGTGGAGTTTGCATGTTCTCTCCATGCATGTGTTTTTTTTTCTGGGTACTCCGGTTTCCTCCCACAGACCAAAAACATGCATGTTAGGCTGATTGGTAACTCTAAATTGTCCCTAGGTGTGAGTGAGAGAGAGAATGGTTGTTTGTCTCTATGTGTCCCTGTGATGGACTGGAGACCTGTCCAGAGTGTCCCCTGCTGCTCACACAGTGATATGAGCGCCAGTGACCCATGTGACCTGAAAAAGAAGAAGTGAGTAAAATATGATGGATGGAGGGATGGAAAACAAAAGGCTGAGGAGGCAGCAAAAAACACCAACTAGAAAAAGCTCTCAAAAAACTCAAGGAGGCAAACATGAAAAGCAAAAATACTCGAAGGGAAAAACCATGAATGCACTGAAAGCACAATGCACAGACACAAATGAGAAAAAGACACAAGGGAAACTAATGAGGGAGAAAAGACAACACCTGGAGAGAGACGATGAGGATCAGGTGAGAGTGGGAGGGGCAGGACCAGAACCATACGAAGGGGAAAAACACTGAGGAAGCTGGAAACAAGTCAAACAAGAATCATAGAAATACTAAACACAAAAGACACAGATCATGACAATATGAACACAAAGAACTGGGTTTACAATTTAAATATACTGTATGAAGAGGGGTGGAACAGGAATAACATTAGGATTGACTATTATAAGCAGAACAGAGCTTAACTTACTACAGAAGATAAAAATCATAGACAATAAAATATAGAAAAAAATATGTAACCCCAGCTGAACACGCAAACTCCATCCAGAAAGGTCCCCAGATTTGCTCCAGCAACTTTCTCACTGAGAGGTGACAGCTCTACCAACTGTGCCGCCTGTCTTGTTTCTCTGAGTTATATTTATCTCATAAAATATTATATTTATTTCCAACAAGCACATGTGCAATGACAAAACTAAATACCCTCTGGGCTGCATTTTGGTCCTCAACACATTACAAATTATGTACCGATCAGATAATTATTATGGAATTGCTAACAAACAAAACAGAATAGGCTTTCTTGTTATTGCACTGAGAGTACAACCGGAGGCTCCACCAGAGTACAAACAGTAATAACATAATCCAAGCATAGACATAAAAACACTTAAAACAAGATTATTCAAAAGTCTAGTTATTACAATAACTTTCTAGATGTTCAACATTAACAAGACTTGTATTGCACTAGTTGTCTTTTATTGCACTTATTTAGTTCCGTTGTTGCTCTTGGATCTGGTGGCACAAGCTCTGAGCGCCTCACAGAAGAAGGAGAAGAGATGAAGGCATGGGTGGTGCACGTATTTTAGGATGTTGTGGTTTCTGCAGCGGCAACGGGTTTATGAAGACGTCTTCCAGAGAAGGTTGTGTGGAGCCGATGATTTTCTTAAATGTTTTTATTTTAATACACGTTGGAGACTTTTCTCATCTGCTTCTGTGCAATTTGCATACCACCCTGTTGCCCAGTACGTAACCACACTCTCACTGGAGCAGTGGTAAAAGGCTCTGAACAGCTCCGCTGAATGGTTGCTCTTTTTTTGGTGTCTGTAGAAAGTGTTGAGCCTGTTTTCAACCATGCAGGGACGAGGGATTGATTGACCAGTTGAGGTCACCAACGATGTACAGATACGTGAAACTGGAGCCTTGCTCCATGTCCTCTTCACTGATAGTGAGGGGACTGTGGACCCCATGGCGTTTACTGAAGTACAAAATGATATTTTTGGTCTTCTTCATATCGAGGTTGTTGTCTACACATCTGTCTGCCAACCTCTCCACCTCTTCTGTGTGCTGTACTACGTTATTGTTTGAAATCAGTCCTATTGCTGCTGTGGCCGCTGCAAATTTAATGATGGTGTTTGTGGAGTATATGGGGGCACAGTCGACTGTATATAGTGAGTGCAGCATCAATTTGAAGACGCGACCTTGTGGCACTCCTGTGTTGTGTGTTAAACGGGTGGAAAGATGTGCGCCGAGTCTGCAGGTGCTTGGAAAGGAAGTCCTTAATCCACATATACAACGTGTTACTGAGACTCATGCCAAGTAGTTTAGGAAGCAGTCTGGAGGGGATAACTGTGCTAAAGGTAAAGCTATAGTCAATAAAAAGCATTCTCACGTATGTTTTCTGTTGGTCTAGGTGGGTAAGCGGTCTGTGGAGGCCAGCAGCAATCGTGCCTTCTGTTGATCTTTGAGCTCTTTAAGCATACACATGCTTGATTTGACGTGTTTCAGAATTAGTGTCACCGTATCAGAAAGGTTAGACCCGGGAACACAGACCACGAGGAACTCAAATAAAACTTAACCTTTCAAAGCCCATGGGTCTTTCTTGAAATCCCTGCTCGAAAAAAGAAAAACATGCCCAAATAAAGGTGAGTATTTCTTACCAATTGCAAACTGTTTAAATCATTATGGTATCAAAATAAAGCTAACATGATGAGATTTCATCAGAAGTGTAAAACGTTATTGTTTGACAGAAAATGAGGATGGAACATAGAACTG